GCCTCAGCCTCCTGAGTAGCTGGGATTACAGGCATGTGCCACCACACCTGACTAGTTTTGTATTTTTAGTAGAGACGAGGTTTCTCCATGTTGGTCAGGATGGTCTTGAACTCCTGATCTCAGGTGATCTGCCCATCTCGGCCTCCCAAAGCTCTGGGATTATAGGCATGCGCCACTGCACCCAGCCATCCTCCTTTGAATTTTTTAACTTTCAGTTTACAACTACTACTATTACCGTTATTATTATTACTATCATTATTGTTGTTTTCAGCCTGCAGTTAGCTCTTAGTTATCTGACCTCTAGCTGACTTTAAATTACAACATACCAGACTAGAAAAGCAATGAAGAAATCTTAATCTGAATCTTTGCTTACTTTATACAAGTGACCTCAGCATAGTTTCTTGGCCATCAAAAAACTATAAGTTAGCAACTTGTATTATGTCATACCCCAGTGGGACAAGAGACTTCCTTATTGTCCCTGCCTTTTAGCCTTGGTGGTAATTTACAAAGATGAACACTTGAGCACCCAAGATGCTTATAGGCATAAGCTAGAACATGTAAATGGTTATTATGTCTGCACTGACAGGCAAGATACTAATTGGTAAGGTGTATCAAACTTGCCAGTTAAATATCTTTATTAAAGGTCTTGAGTAGAGTCATTTCTTTATTATTTTAGAACAGCCCTCATGCTTGCGGTCCATCATAACTTTCCAAGTATAGTCAGCTTTCTCCTTGAGCAAAATATTAACATCTTTTCTCAAGATATATTTAAACAAAATGCTGAAGATTATGCTATTTGTTGCGATATGATAAGGTAAGTGCTTATATTAAAAGACCAGTTAATGCTAAATTAGGTTTTAAAATAATTAGAAATATTGCATCTTATACGTTAGGTGATATTTCATAGTTTTATTGAGGTAGTTAGGAATGGCAACTAGTTAGTCCACTTTTTAGCCAGAAATCAAACAGAAAGCTAAACTAGTTAGAAGTAGGAATAGTGCAAGATTCTTTCAGGACTTTTAAAAACTTTTATCCCTAGAGATCTCAATGTTGTTCATTTTATTCCAAGTATAACCCCTATACGTGAGATATAAATAGTGTCACATCTTTTTACTATTTTTCTTTCTTTCTTTTCTTTCTTTCTTT